GGGCGGTGGGGTGGTGGTGGTCTCTGGCTCTGGGCTCTGAAGGATTTTTCCAGAGGAAGAAAGAATGGCATCCAGGACAGAGGGATGGGACATAGGACATCAAGAAGAGGGAGGGCGATTAGCAAGAAGGGGGTTGGAAAACCATTTGGCTGCAAAGGTATGGATCTGCTGGCCCCCAGGAGCCAATGTGAATGTCATTTGTAAGCAAGACCCAGGGCCCAGAGAGACAGGCCTGGCAAGAACAAGGGGCACTTAGCCCCCACCCGGGAAAGAGCACTCTGACACAGCTTCTGGGGATGGTGGCCCAGGGGAGTCATCTTTTGTCCAAAACAGGGAGGGAAATGTGAGGATGGGGACGAAATCGCGAGAGGGTGGTCTGGACTGAGGAAAGTATCTGTGCACACGTGTTCACTTGGCCTTCTCCCTGTAGCCCCGAGATGGGGAGCCCGTGGTGACACAGCTGCATCCGGGCCCCATCATCGTGCAGGACGGGTACTTCTCACGGCCGCTGGGCAGCACAGACCTGCTCCGGGCACCTGCCCACTTCCCTGTGCCCAGCAGCCGTGTGGTGCTACGTGAGGTCTCCCTCGTCTGGCACCTCTATGGAGGCCGAGACTTTGGCCCCCACCCTGGCCACAGGTGAGAAGGATGGGTGTAGGTGGCAGCTATGGCCATGGGGCCCACCCACTTAGGAGATGGGGCCCGGGCTGGGGTTCAGCTCTGACCTTCAGCCACTGATAACCTTGAGCAGGATCCTTGCCTCGGTGGCCTCCGTTCTTCCTTCCTTGCCCTGCACCCACCTCCCAGGGCTGAGCTGGAGAGTGTCTCCCGTCCCTGGCTGAAGGGCCCACTCAGGGGAAGGGGCAAGGGAAGGGGTTCCCCTGAGTCCATTTGTCCCCTCTCTGTCTTTCCAGGGCAAGAGGCGGCTTCATGAGCTCCAGGGGCTCCCCTTCTCGCTGCTCTGGCCCCAACCGGCCCCAGAACTCTTGGCGGACGCAGGGGGGCAGTGGGAGGCAGCACCATGTCCTCATGGAGATCCAGCTCAGCAAGGTGAGCTGGGGGCAGAGTGCAGAAAGCCGCCGGGGTGGGGGACAGGGCAGGCTATCCCGTCCCTGCCCCTCAGCCAGCCCTTCGTGGCCACTTACCTCAGGGTCCCCCGTCACGCACCGAGTCACCGAGCGGCTGCCATGCTGCACACTACGTGCTGTTCTAGATGTTGGGTGTCACGACGGGCAAAGCAGACAGCACCCCTCCCTTCCTGTCACTTGTGTGGTAGTGAACGGAGCCACGGATCTGTATGGTGTGGAACGTGGTGAACGTTTGGGGAAGGTGAACCAGGGAGGGGCACGGGGAGCGCTGGGGAGGGGGGCCAGCCATGTTCTGGAGAAGGTGCAGTTTGCACGAAGCCCTGAGGAAGGGAGCAGGAAGAGGTTTTCAGGCAGAGAGCACGGCACGAAGGCTGCCAGCCAGGAGCCTCCCTGGTGTATCCAGAGCGGCAGGGAGGCCAGCAGGCTGCGGCCGGGCAGGGAGGAGGGCGGTGGAGGCCGTGCGTCCAGCTGGCAACCAGGCTGGCAGGCCCCACAGACCACGGGACGGCTTGGGTGTTTACTAGAGTAAGGCACCCTCAGCAGGAAACAGTGGCTGCACGGGGTGGCCGCTGTAGAGCCCATGATGATGGTCAGATTCTGGAGAAATTTTGCTGGGGAAGAACAAGTTGGGTGGGTGGCCAGGCTAACCTGAGAGATTGTGCAGGTAGGGGTGCCGCCCATTGAGTGAGCACACGGGCTGTCGTGGGGCTGGCACATCGGGAGCAAGGGTGGAGGGCAGGCTTTGGAGGGCGAGGCCAGGGCGCAAGGTGAGCAGGCGTGTGCTTTATGAAGAGCCCTGTCGTGTGGAGAAGGGGCTGGGGGCACCACCAGGAGGGGCTGTCCAGGGGAGAGGGGACTGCAGTTCCAAGATGAGCTGGAGGCGGTGGACAGGACACAAGTGCGGAGGGACTGGAGAGATGTTCTAAGGAAGCAAGCTTGATGGCCTTGGTGACGGAGAGGTGGGGGTGCAGTGTGGGGACTTGGTGACAGACAGGTGACACTTAGGCGACAGGAAGGGAACAGGAGCAAGTAGATTCAGGGGAGGAGTTCAGTATGTTAAGAGGAGTTTGAAATGCCTGTGGGACAGCGACAGGGAGGCAGCCAGGTGGGGGGCTGAGGGGGGTGCTGGGGGCAAGAAGGGTGGCTGAGAGACAGGGGCCCTGCCTGCATGGCTCAGGCCTCCACCCACCCCTCAGGTAAGCTTCCAGCACGAGGTGTACCCAGCGGAGCCGGCCCCCGGCCCCGCGGCCCCCGGCCAGGAGCTAGAGGAGCGGCCACTGTCCCGCCAGGTGTTCATTGTTCAGGAGCTTGAGGTCCGAGACCGGCTCGCCTCCTCCCAGATCAACAAGTTCCTGTACCTGCACACGAGTGAGCGGATGCCACGTCGCGCCCACTCCAACATGGTACAGGCCACCCCCGCCGTCCACGCTGGGCAGAGCCGTGTGCGCACGCCCGCGCCGGCCTGTTTGGGAGAATGCTGGGGCTCGGGTGGGCTCAGCTGTGGCGACAGCGTGCGCCGATGCGAGGCCAGCTGGGCACGGGGTGGGGGCAGGGACCTGAGGCCCCGCGGGCACCCAGAGCTTGCCCTCTGCCCCCAGCTCACCATCAAAGCGCTGCACGTGGCCCCCACGACCAACCTGGGTGGGCCCGAGTGCTGTCTCCGTGTCTCGCTGATGCCCCTGCGGCTCAACGTGGACCAGGTGAGGAGGTCAGATGGGGGTAGAGCTGGAGGTGAGCCCCGCTGCCTCCGGGCCTGGGCGCCTGACCTGCACCTTCCCCTGCAGGATGCCCTGCTCTTCCTCAAGGACTTCTTCACCAGCCTGGCGGCTGGCATCAATCCTATGGTTTCGGTGGAGACGTCCACTGAGGGTGAGAGGCTAAGCTGGGAGGGGAGGGTCCGGGCCTCCCACCTCCCGGCCATCCCCAGGCCCATCCCCAATCTGTGCCCCCCACCCTAGCTCGCCCTGAGACCCGAGTCCAGCCCAGCAGCCTCCAGGAAGGCCAGGCTGAGGACACAGAGACGCCTGGCTCCCGGGAGACCACAGGCAGTGGACACCGCTCCTCTGCCGAGCAGCAGCCTATCTACTTCAGGTGGGGCTGCAGGCTGGGGGGTCCCAGCCCAGGCCGCAGAGGGCCGGGTCAGTGACCAAAGGCCCCTCTCCCCATTCCCCACCCAGGGAGTTCCGCTTCACGTCTGAGGTGCCTATCTGGTTAGATTACCATGGCAAGCACGTCACCATGGACCAGGTGGTAAGTAGGGCTGTCAGGCAGGCTGGCTGTGTGGGCCCATCCCTCTCATCCCCATTCTGCCCAGGTGTGGCTGGCCTAGGGGGCCAGGGCTTGCATCCAGGTGACATCAGCTGCTGAGTCGGCCTTCAGAGGCTGCTGTGGGCTGGGCAGGCCCCTGTGCTCAATCGCATAAACCCCAATCCCTTCTCCGTCCCCAGGGCACTTTCGCTGGCCTCCTCATTGGCCTGGCCCAGCTCAACTGCTCTGAGCTGAAGCTGAAGCGGCTTTGTTGCCGACACGGGTGAGCCCTTCTTGCCCTGCAGCACCGCTAGCCTCTCTCCAAGGTCCTCTAGCTTCCCTCTGCTCTGTTTCTGACTGGTTGTGTGGCCTTGGCCAACTCATCACCCCTCTGGGCCTTCAGTTTCACTCTGTCTAATGGGGACCATCATCCTCCACAATCCTCCGGGGGGTGCTATAGAGAGCATTGGGGTACCTCAGTTCCTGGTCCCATGACCCCTCAATGTGTGGCTCTACCTCTCCTCTCCTCTCCCCTTCCCAGGCTCCTGGGTGTGGACAAGGTGCTAGGCTATGCTCTCAACGAGTGGCTGCAGGACATCCGCAAGAACCAGCTTCCTGGCCTGCTGGGGGGCGTAGGCCCCATGCACTCAGTTGTCCAGCTCTGTGAGTGGCTGACTATCGGGGCTCTGGAAACTGCTCTTACTCTTGGGCAGCCTAGAAGCTGCCTCAGGGATAGGTAGAGGAGGTCTGAAGTCAGGGTTTGTGTGGGCAGCGCAGCCCTGAGCTTCTCTGACAACCCTGTCCCTTCAGTCCAAGGGTTCCGGGACCTGCTCTGGCTGCCCATCGAGCAGTACAGAAAGGATGGGCGCCTCATGCGGGGGCTGCAGCGGGGGGCTGCCTCTTTTGGCTCCTCCACGGCTTCCGCCGCCCTGGAACTCAGCAACCGGCTGGTGCAGGCTATCCAGGTGAGTGGGCACATGGTTCCAGGCCAAGTAGGGCAGGGAGGGTGCTCCACAGCACCTGACCCATCCCCAGATTTCTACTGAGGATAGTCTTGGGTGTGTGGTCTCATGAGACACAGTCATAGATGAGAGAGGCCCAGTGACCAACTTGGGGCCCACACAACTCCCATGTTGGAGGGTGAGTGCCCTCCAGGCTCTACAGCCCACTGGTGTCTGTTCGTGGCCACCTCTTGAACAGGAGGGCAGGGGGTGTGATTCTGTTTACAGGCGGAAAATCTGAGGCACAGACCGGCCCTCACTCATTCAGGCCCTGCATTTTGCTAGGCCCAGACAGATCCCAGGGACACCAGGGCATTGTCCTGTGAGCAGCTGTAGGTCAGTGCCGTGAACTCTGGTAGAGGGACTAGGACAGACACGCCCTTGTGGGGGAGCTCAGTGCTTTCTGGGATCTGCAAGCCCAGCCCCCTGCAGGCAGGGGGCAAGATCTCTAGAGAGGAAGCTGGAAGGATTAGCAGGTCCCAGAGAGGCCCCAGAGGCACAGGTGAAGAGACTGGGTGAGAAGTGAGGGGGCAAAAGGAACAGAGGAGCCAGCTTCAGAAGGTAGAGGGGACTCGGTGGGGGTGAGCAGGGGGGAAGCCAGTGCTCTGCCAGAGCTGCCTCTGCAGCGGACAGGGCAGGGCAAGGTGCAGGGTAGGGGAGACGGTGCACTCAGTCTCAAGAAAGCTGCCTGTGTGGCACCTCACAAATGGGCAAGGGCACACAGATGTGGTCCACACGAGGAGGGTTTGGGGTCCAGAGGACGTTGGGCGAATCCCCTCAGGAGGCATGTGCCCACCTGAAGCCCCTTGACCTGAGTCGTGGAAGCATCAGCAGGGCCCCAGGAGCAGCACCATAAAGCACAGCTATGGAGGGAGACAAGAGTGCGGCGGCTCCCTGGGCTGGCCAAGGGTCTGGCACGGTCCTCTGGGGCTGGCTCGGGGGGCCTCGGGGCTGGACGTGTGTGCCCCCGCCAGGTGTCCTCATCCGGTGCCCTCCGTGTTCCTCTAGGCCACAGCTGAGACGGTGTATGACATCCTGTCCCCTGCAGCACCCATCCCCCGCTCCCTGCAGGACAAGCGCTCCGTCAGGAGGCTACGAAAGGGCCACCAGCCCGCCGACCTCCGGGAGGGTGTGGCCAAGGCCTATGACACAGTTCGAGAGGTGATGAGGCCCCGTCCCCCCTCCCAGCCCCACAGCCACCTCCCCACCCAAACCCCTGCGCTGACCTCCCACTTCCACAGGGCATCCTGGACACGGCTCAGACCATCTGTGATGTGGCATCCCGGGGCCATGAGCAGAAGGGGCTGACGGGCGCCGTGGGGGGCGTGATCCGCCAGCTGCCCCCAACTGTGGTGAAGCCCCTCATTCTAGCCACGGAAGCCACGTCCAGCCTGCTCGGGGGGATGCGAAACCAGATCCTTCCCGACGCACATAAGGACCATGCTCTCAAGTGGCGTTCGGATGAAGGCCAGGACTGAGTGTCGGGGGCCCAGGACCCAGGGGCACTGCTGCCCACCTCGCGCAGCCAGCCCCAGTGGCATCTTGGTCCCTGCACCTCCCCAGATCTTCGGCCCACAGCTGGGCGGGCCCTCGGGGGAAGGGCCTGGAAGGACCCTTCCTGGCCCACCCTGCCAGTCGCTGTGAGAATGAGGCCTCCCTGCCTGGGGCCTCGGCCCTGTCTCTGCACTTTTCCTCTGGGGAGAAAGGACGCTGCCTCCACTACTACCTGGGCCCACACTGCCGCCTTGTCCCAGAATAGGAGGCATTTGGACCCTCAGACCCCAGCCCCACTCAGCCAAGTATCTTTCTATGTCTGGGGGGAGGTGGGGGACAGACCCTGTGTGGTTCAATGTATTTTTAAGCTCCTTGAGCGTGTGGGTCAGTGTCTGCATGAAGTGGAATAAACTGCCCACCGCCAGCCCCCTTGTCCCGTGTACCTGCGCTGCCCCAGCCTCAGCCTTGACCTTGGCTCTCACTCAGATCCCCACCTCTGTACCCAGCACCTCCCATGTCACCACCAGGGGTCACCACACCTGCCCAGCAGGTTCAAACTGGCCCCCAGCTACCTGCCCACCCCTGCACCCCTTCCCCTGCCTGCCCTGCCTCCGCCCTGGGCTCCTTGCCACTCGGCCCCACTTCTGCTGTGGCAGGAGCGGAGGGGGCAGGAGGAAGGCTTGGAGCCCGCCTCACCCGACCATGTTTCTTGGCTCTATCCCTGCAAGAGCCCAGGATCCAGCCTTACCTGGGGCCAGGTATTAGGGGACAGCTGGGAGGACACTGGCCTGCAAAGGGTAGGGCTGTGGGGTGCCCCGGGAGATGCAGACCCTGAGCATGTGGCCTGAGGCTACGCCCTTGGTCTCTGAGCCTCAGGTGCCTCCTGGTAATCCCTGCCTGGGGACCAGGAGGGTCAGTCAAGGCCATACCTGGAAGGCTGGGCCCTCTGGAGGCCGCTCCTGCGTCCCTAGCAAAAGGCTGTTCAGGTGACTGGAGCCTCTGCCCTGGGGTCCCAGCTCCAGGGCACTAGACAGGGAAGGACACTGGGGGGTAGCACTGGCCAGCAGGGGTCCTGACAGGCGTTTCCCTACATGGGGAAGGGAAAATGCCCACTGTCCCCACCACCACACATGCATGCGTGCACACACACGCCTTGTTTCAGAACAAGAAGGGGCTACTCTTATGCCCCACCCCACCTTGCTCCCCCAGGCAGGTGGGTCTGTGGGGAAACTGAGGCTCAGACTAAGAGGCACAGACTTAGAGAACCCTCACCTTGCTAGGGTCATCTGCAGACTTCTCTTTGGTGAGCAAAGGTTCTCCCCCCAACCCCAGTCCCCTCTGTGCCCTTGCTGTCCCCTTTGTGTCTGGGCACCAAATGAACAGGGCAGAAGTTTTGTCCTGGTGGATCCCAGGGGTCTCGGCTGCCCATGGTCACCTGAGGGGGCAGGGAGTGAAGGAAGACAGGCTGTGGGTGGCTGGGGTCTGATGCCACCAGAAGGGACAGATGGGGGCCCAGCCTGATGCTTCCTAGAAGTGCCCCACCCCACCTGGGCACAGTCCAGGGTTTCATGCCCTTCGAACCACACTTGTGATCAGTATTGACAAGCAGCAGAGTAATCATTAACCACCGCCAGGGGCTGGGCCAACGGCTCAAAAGGCACTGGGCCCAGGGCGTCCCCACTTCCTCCTTGTGCCCCGAGGGCCAGCCAGGCACCGAGGTAAGAGCCGGTCCAGGCGGTCAGACCCCTACAGCCCCTCTGCCCCAGGGCGCTCCTGAGCCCAGCTACCTTTTTGCAGGGTTCCCAGCCCCTCTGAGGAAGGAAGGGAAGGGTCTAAGCAGCTGCTGGGTGACCTGAGCCAGTCCTTTCCAGCCCTGGGGCCTCAGGTTCCACCTGTGAGATGAGGGAGCCCGACCCCTGACTGGGCAGTGGCATCGCTGCCTCCACTAAGCCTGGCGCTTGGTCTGGCCTGGGCATCTTTGGGAGGGCCTTCTAGGCTTTGGTGATGGGAGGTGTCACCTGCTATGGTGTCTTCATTCACAGGCCTGTCTTTCCAGGCAAAGGACTCCTGCCCAGGGACCTCCCATCCCACCTTGACTGCATCCCAAGAGGGTGGAGGCTGCTTCGGAGAGGTTGCCAGGCAGGACAGAGGCCCCGCTCCGCGAACTCGGGCAGCCTCCTTTGCCTCTCTGGGCATCTCCAGTGTCAGGAAAGGGAGAAACGGTCCAAGTCCACTCTCAAGGCTCAGAGTCCCAGATCCCCCTTCTTCTCCAAAATGTCCCCTAGGTGGGTAGGACTGGCCTTGGAACCTGTCACTGAAGCCTCTGGGGCCAGATCCTGTCTGGATCTGGGGGGTGGGAGGTTTGGCGCGAACACACTTTGCAGGAGAAAAGTCTGCTCCCCTGGGAGTCCTGGGCTGGCTCCAGGACCGCGGGCAGGAGCTCCTTCGGATCTTCACAGCAAGGTGGGACCCAAGGGTTGAAGGGATGGTGGCTTCCAGCAGTCAAGGCTGGCGTGCAGGACAGGTCTCACAAGCCCTGATTTGCAAGTGAGGAGGAACCAGCAGGAGATGAGACCACACGCTCAAGGTCACCCAACTGCCAGACCCCTGCAGGCGCTCAGGCCACTGAGGTGCTAAGTGCTCTTGCAGATGGTGGTCGCTGACAGCCCTGTGCTTAGCATTCTGCCAGCAGGTTTGCACATTGCACCTTCTCAAGTTCCCTGTTTCTCCCCGTCGCCTTCCTCTGTCCCTATTTGCTCCGTTCCTTTCCAGTTCTCTCCGGCTCTGCATCTGCTTCTCCCACCTTCTGTGTCCCCCGCCCCCACTTCACCCCTGCCCCTCTCAGTCTTGCCTCCAGCTTCTCATCTGGGGCCATCCTCAGGAATCTGGACGGTCAGAGATCCCTGGAGACCGACAGATGTCCAGCTATCCCTCACTGTCCCTCTGCCCTGTGGCTGTGGCAGGAAGGGTGGGCAAAGGGCAGAGGGTGGAGGCCACGGTGGCCCAACCTGGAACTGGGGCTCGGCTCTGGTTGGGAAAGAAAGGAGGAAACAAGGAACTTGGGGACAGAGGGTGTGGGGTGTCAGGGCGGGCAAAGGCTGCCCGGGAGCTATAAATCGGGGCCACTCCCGGCTTTATGAGCAGAGCTGGGGCTGAGACAGGACTTCGCCCAGAAAAGAAGGGCTGGCATCAGACTCCAGGTGTGGGCCCCGGATGATAAGGAGCCTCAATAAAGAGACCACGGACCTGGGGCCATGAGGACCCAAGAGGCCCACATGGGTGGGCACGCGTCCTCCCCGGACTTCTGCCCAAGGGGGAGACACCAGACAGGCAAGGTCCAGGCCTCCAGTTGGTTCCCACCCTCTGTAACAGCAACTCCATGTGGAAGTGCCCACTGGTTCCAGTGGGGCTGCTGTTATCGGGGATGGGGACCAGTACCCACGGAGGCGGAAGAGCACGCCAGCAGGGACCTCCACGGCTGCGCTCCCAGGCCCAGGATGGCAAAGGGCAGTGGGCTGTCGGCAGGCTGCCAAGACCGAGTGCACAGGGCTCTGACCTATGAATTGACAGCCAGTGTTCTCATCTCCCCTCTGGCTGCCAATTCCATAGGTCACAGGTATGTTCGCCTCAATGTCAGCCGCCGGGACCTGCAGTGGAGGGAGGGGAAGGGATGGGGCGAGGGGTGTCCAGAGGGCAGGAAGACTTGCTACCCCAGGGCAGCCCTCAGGTCCAACTCCTTCCTGTTTCATTCCTACCTTTCCATGTCCCCTCCCGTGAGCCTGCCCTGCTTTAGGTCCCTGCCTGTACTGACCGCTTGTGGCATGCCTGAGTGCTTTGCCCATGCTTTTCCCTCTGCCTGGAACACTTTTCCCTGCTTTTTTTGTGCCAGGTTCACCCTTACTAACTGTTCCAAGCTCTGTCCAAGCATTGGCTGCCTACAGGAAGCCTTCCTGAAGCCCACTTGATCCCCAGTGCCTGCCTGGGCACCCCCAGCAACCTGCGCTTCCCCAGAGAACTGTACTCTCCCCCCCACCCCACCCCGGTGTTTTCATCCTCCCCACCACCTGTGAGCTCAGCTCCCGGCACCCAGCCCCCTGTGCTCGGTGGATGTCCAAACAGATCCTAAGCCTTCGTCTTGCACCCCAAGGAAGCACCACCAATGTCCCATGTGGCCAAGAGGGGCCGAGGGCTCCAGGCCCCAGTCTGTGTCAGAGCCTCTCCAGGACGAGGACCCCCCCGAACCGCCTCCCCTCCACTGGCCTGCTCTCTCCTCTCTCCCTGCAGCACAGCCCAGACTTGCCTGCCCAGCTGTGGTGGCCGTGGAGGAAGGCGACCGTGTGGGGGCAGGACCTGGCGGAGGTCGCCACAACAGCCTCTCTCCTGCTTGGCTTTCATACGATGCCGATGCCGATGCGATGCCGTTCCGGAGACATTCGCATTTGAATTAAAAGCCTTCTGCTGCTAAAAGATAAGCTTTTCGAAATTGGAAACAGAGACCTAAGAATAAAGTTCAAATTGCTCAACGATAGGAGCCGGCTCTGGAGCCCTTTCTGTGTGCCGGGCCCTGGCATGCATCGGTCACCTGGGATCAACTCAATGACCTTGCGAAGCGACTATCATGGACCTGTTCCGGAGATGAGGACTCGGGGCTCACAGAGGGGGGAGCATCTTGCTAAAGTGAGAGTAGTTGAACCTTCTCTCTCCGAGGACCAGGCAGCTGGCAAGCATCCAGCCACCCTCTCTGGCCCCTATGACTCTTACCCTAGTGGGGCTTTTTTGCTGCCCCATCGGCTCCGGATCCCTGGGCCACCATCTTGACCGAGCTGGGCTCAGATGTCCCTCCCGCTACCTCCCCTCACTACCTCCCACTGCTCCCCCCACCCACCACACCTTGGGCCCCTGGGCCTCTCCCTGCTCCCTCTTATCTTATCCCTTCAGGGTTGAGAGCTCCATGCTCTTAACACCCAGGGCTCCAGACTCCTGGAGGGCAAAGTCCATGATTCACTCATCCTGCCTGGCCCCTGACCCCACCCCAGCATGGCAGGTGTTCCAGAAACCCTGGCCCTCTTGGGGGCTGTCAGGCCCCAGGCTCAGAGTGCTGGCTTAGGGTGGGTGGGTGGAAGGGTGTCCACTTCCATCTGCCTCTGGCAGCTCCAGGAGATCATATCCCAGCTCCGGAGCAAGGCCCACCCAGCTGCCTCCGACCAGCTCGGTTTCTCTTCACTGTCGTTTCTCTTCACTGCCCCAGGGCCGTTTCCAGAGAAGCCTGGCCGTATGCTCCTTGCCTAGCCTGGATCCTGCCCCCACTTTCTCTTAAGACCTCTGGGACACCTGCTGCTTGGTCCTTTCCCCCCACTCAGTGGCTTCCGTGACGTGACCGCTCTTAGAGTCCCCATCACCAATGCCTGGCTATTCCCCTCC